TATGTAAAAATAGGTCTTACTCCTACTTTTGTATCATATCTTTGGCATAGACTCTATGCCAACAATTTGACTGACAAGGGAGAGCAGATAACATTACCCACAGATGGCTCTTCTGTTCTCCCAAGCATAACAACCGCAGCACATGCTATGGATACTTCCTAAACAGTGCTAGGGTTGTCACTCTGTTCAGACGTCTGCATGCTGGCAACAAAGCCAATGTGTCGGCTTCACTCAAGGGGTTTTTCCTGCTTGAGCAAGCATTTACCCGCAAGGCAAGTCAAAGAAGGCCGCTGGAGGAGCCGAAAATGGACTGAAGGTATGTGTTACATGAACAGTAACACCCATGAAGCGCTGAAGATGGTGGCGCTGTAACAGACATGAGGGAACTATATATATATATAAAAAAAAATAATAAACATACATAAATCATGCGTCTTGATAAATTATGTATTCAATGTATATAAGTGTCTATGGGGCGAATTAAAGGGATACTATAGTGCTAGGAATACAAAGTTGTATTCCTAGCACTACAGTTCCTCCATACACCCCTCCCCTCCCCTCCGCCATATAAAGGGTTAAAATACCTTTACCGTGCTCAGCCATTTCCAGCACGGATGTCTCAGCACTGGGTCGGAGCTCTGCCCCCTCTGTCACCCAACGGGAGGGCACTAATACACGTGTAGCAATGCTTTTCCATGGGGTATTGACAGACGCTAGATGGTCTCATGCAGAGCTTGAGAACGTCCAGCGTCAGTTAGGAAACCTAAAGTTGCCTAATCCCCTGCAGTGCCTCTAGCAGCTGTCTGGTCGGTAGCCAATCTTAACCCTGGTAATTAATGTAGTTTCTCAGAAACGGCAATAATTACCGTTGTAGGGTTAAGGGGACATGGACACTGCGCTCAGACGACTTTAATGAGCTGCAGTGGCCTAGATGCCTATAGTGTGGCTTTAAGGGAAGTAATTTTTTTTCCCATTACAGGTTCACTTTAACACATAAGCATAATAGAAGTGCCCATAAGTTTGTAATTAAACCTAATGACACAAGTCACATTATTGTAGACATGAGATATAGGACCTGGAGGAATAAACTCAGTATTACACAAATCTCTGATCTATTGCGTGCCTATTGAATGTTTATGGCCGTCTGTCACACACTTTGCTACATGATGTATTGATTATCATGGAAAATCCTGATTTGCAACAAGTTACTATGTAATATATACTGTTAGATGGCAAACAGATTCTGATCTACTGAGACAGGTCCTTGATGTACACGTAGGGTGCCAAGCTACCCCACACCTTCCATGAATAAGAAATGTATTTTCTTTCATTAGGTCTATCTAGCAGCACTGCCTACTGCATTCACGCTTGAGTAATGCAGCTGCATTTAATCAAACTTAATATTAATAATAAATGTATTTTTAACATTAGTGTTCCTGGACAGTTCATGGGATAAGAATAGAAAAACAAACCGTGAAGCTTCTAAATGGAGAGTCTCCTCCTGATGAAGAAGAGGCCTATTAAAAGGGACACTATGGTCACCAGAACAACAACGGCCTAAACAAACACTATAGGGTCAGGAACACAAACATGTATTCCTGACTATAGTGTTATAACCACCATCTAGCCTCCCCTGACCCTCTTGCCTCCCTAAATATAGAAAAATCTT